TGTACAGGGTAATAGTTAGCCCGTTGGTCGATGTTTACTTTCAAGGTTGCATACAAATACACTCCGTATTTATCTCTAATACCCACTCTGTAAGATTTGATGCTTTTACCCAGAAGATTTTGGCGAAAGCGATTGAGTGAAAAATCAAAGCAATACATTCCTTCCTGATAATTAATAGGCTGTTCTATCACCTTAATTTCTTCGCCAATGTCGGTGGTAAACACTGCTTCAATATAAAATTTTGTCAGACTTGCTACTTTCAAATAAATGTACCTGAAGAGTGGCTCATCTTCTAATATTTCTACCGTACTAGGCAAATGGGTAAGGAACTGCTTTAGATACCTACTAAATTCAAAATTGCTAGTTCCTGCTACTACATCATAAGTTTTTGTATCTATCAATACATCATTCACGTAGGTTTTTACGGTGAAATTTTTGGCTGTGCCTAAAAATTCTACAGGATTTTGAAACGTTGGTACGGGCAATTGTAAAGCTTTGTAGAACTTAAAAAAACATGATAGATCAAAGTTGTATTTGCCTGCAATCGGGTACGATAACAAAAGGCTTTTTTCGTTCAAAAGCGTTGTGCCGTCGTAGATTTTTACGATGGCTTTTGCTGTGGTACTGGCTGGGATTATATGCGGAATGGGGTTGTTTGCGAAGTATATCATTGTAAAGCAGATTTTTGCGTTTGTTGGTTTTCGTTCAATTTCTTCTGTAGTTCATAAGCATGTTCGTTATTGAAATCAATAATCAAGTTTGCTTTTTCGATAGCAGATGGCAGTTGCTCCAGTGTGGTATTGAGTTGCACCAATAGGGCCTTCAGTTCGTTCGGGCTGTTGATGATTTTCTCTGAACCTGCTATAAAACTACCTTTCTGGGCTGAGGAATAGCCTCCTTCTTCAAAACCGCTTACCTTATTAACTCTTCGTTTATCTATAAAATCTACAAGGTTAGCTACCACGGGGTCTTGCAGCTGCCAGTTTGGTACTATATATTCTTTACCTTTCTCATTTACACGAATCAAAAAGCCAGGACCTTTATCTTTTACGCCTGTTTCTATCATACCGCCTTGGGCATAGGCAGGGGCTTCAGTAGCCAAAATGTTGGCAATTTGCGCACCTCCTATTATTCCCGCAAATGTCATACGGATAGGGTCTGGCGAGGCTCTTAGGATGGAAAGAGCGGTTTCCATTGTGGCTCGTGAAAGATTCTCCGCTCTGGTAATCTCAAACTGTTCTTTCTTGAATTTGCGTTCCTCAGCTTTATGCTTATCGTCTAAAGCCTTCTTCTTCTTGGTATATTCGGCATCTGTGATAAGCTTTTTGTTCTTTTCGTTTTCTAACGATTCTAAATTTTTTTGATACGATTCTGATTCTTTCTGAACACGATTATTCAGATTTGTTTGCATCAGTCCCGCAATAGCACCAAATGCCTGCCCATATCCGTTTACGATGGCTTCGCCAAGTTGGATATTGTGGGCATGGATTAGAGCCGTTTCTTGCTGACGGTACTTTTCACGGATGTTTGCTTTCTCTTGTTCTGTAATGCCAGCTACGTTCAGCTCCTGTTGCATTTCAGAATTCAACAGTACGAGCTGTGCCTGAAGTGGGTTTTTGCCTTCAGTTTCTAATTTCTGTACGGCTAACCTTTGGCGTTCTATCTCAGTGTTTCTGATTCTCTGGTTAGTGGCTAGGTTATGCTGTTCTTCAAGTTCATCAAGGGCGGAATTTGTGGCTTTTTTCTGGTTAAGCTTTTCGGTTTCGTAATTTTGAGTTAGTAATTTTTGGGCTTCCTTATTGTCTTTTAGCTTTATTAATTCTTCCTGATAGCGTTTTTCGATACCGTCCAGCGTTAATAATCCTTGCGTTTGGATTATTTGGCGTTGAAGAATATACGCTTCCTGAGTTTTGCCTTTACGGTTGGCAATGTTTAACTGAGCGTTAAGCTCATCCATTGCTCCTTTATCGGCTAACTCTTTTGTTTTAAGTATTTGTTCTTTAAGCTGAGCTTCACGTTCCTGAGCCGATTTAGTACGAATATCTAGTACTTCTTTACGAAGTGTTCGCTCTATTTCAGTTTCTTCAGTGGCAATTCTATTACGCTGTAGAAGGCTTTGTTTATCGTGTTCGATGACAAGCCCGTTTTCATCAGTGAACTGCTGACGAATTTTGTTTAAATTCTCTTCAGCACGGCGTTCGGCTTCTAATACTTTCTTTTGCTCTTCGTTTACAGATGCTACGTCAGCTTCGTAAATAAGCTTTGAACGTAGGTCTATTTCCTTTTTGGTGTTTTCTTGGATAAACTTTTGGGCTTCTATTCTAAGCTTTTCCTCTTTGGCTAACCTTGCAGCTTTTTCTTCTTCTGTTTCTATGTGTTTTTTCTTAGGGTCTTCTTCTTCAGTAGTGGCTTGAATTTTCTCTATAGTGTTCAACTCTCTAATACGTCTTTTTGCATTAAGTATTGAAAAAACCTCGCCTTGCAATTGTTTATTCAAATCCCTTAAATGTGCTTTATATCGCTCTGTGCCTGCCTGTGGATGATTTTTAGTATATTCAATATCATTCTTTAGGGCATCAATCGTATTTTTACTGTTTTTGATTTGATTGAGCAATTCATCAGAACGACTATTTTTAATAGTATCCTGTACCTTTTTTTGTTGTTCTAAATAATCTTTCAGAATACCTATGTTCAATGAAATAGCACGCCCGTAATTATCATACTGAGTAATAGCAGTAGGCACGATAGTACTAATATCTTGCATTACCGTATTCAATTCACGCTGTTGTCTAGCACTTAAATTTTGCTGTTCTTTTAAATCCTCATATTTTGCTACGAGCGGAGTTAGCTTTTTGATAGTAACATCTGTTTTTTTCTGTAACTCATCACTGTTACTATTAATAGCTTTTATTTCAGCATTATAGCTAACTAAATTTTCTAAGAGTGGAATAAATACATTCGTCAAACCGCTTGATAATGAATTCATCCAACCAGTCCAAACCTTACTAGCTTTTTCAATGGTAGCTGCTTTGTTGGTATTTTTTTCATTAAATACTTCGTCAAGGCGAGTGGCTTCTGCTACTGATTTACTGGCTAAATCTTGTTTCTGTTTTAGCTTATCAAGATTGTCTGTTAATACACCAATAACCTTTACTTGTTCGTTTGAATTAATTTTAAGCGTTTTCAATTTTTCCGAAAGCTCTGTACCGCTCGCACCTTTAAAGCTTTCTCCTAATTTGATAAGGAATTCGTTGGGATTAGTATTGATTAACTCTTTCACCTCTGCCCTACTCATTTTCAATTGTTTGGCGAACAAAGCAGAGTTTTGCGAAGCTGTAAGCAATACGTTAGAAAGCCCACCTGCCGAAATTTCAGCAGTCAATTTTGCTTCTTCAAAAATTGCTGCTAAACCAAGGGTTTCAGAGGCGGCAGGTTTAATTGCATCGGGTAATTGCCCCATCCGCTGAGTAAATTCTATAATTCCCTTCGTCGTCGCTGGCCCATCGTCATTTAGTTTTTTGATGGCTGAACCATAGGCATCTACAAACTCAACGATTGGCATTTTACGGGATTCTGGAAATAACTCAAGTAATGAACCGAAGGTAGAAGCCAATTCCTCAGCATTAGAAAAATCTCTACTGAAAACAATTTGGGCTTTGTCCATTTGTTCAACAAAGCCTTCAACATCTACTTCGTTCAAATCTCCCGCAACAATAGCGAGCTGTTTCAGTTCAGATACTTTTGTTCGGGTATCAATATCGCCTAAATCACTATTGAGGGCTTTTACTTGGGCATCGGTTTTGCCGAGGGAAATTTCTAAATCAGAATTAACGTCGTCTAGCTCGCCAACGGCACGGGTAACGTTTGCAATTTTGGCAGGTATAGAACCGATACTATCCAAGCCCAAAGCAGCCAAACCACCACCAAAACCGCCAGCGATGGCGGTCGGGATTGAGCCAAATATCTGAGAAAGTAATGGCTGAGTACCTTCTATTTGTTTCTTTTTGCTATCTATCAAACTACCAACTCGCTGATAATTATCTACTAAACTTCTACCGTGGGCATCTTCAAGGTTTATGGTTTGCCCAATTTCTTTTTGAAGCAGATTATGATAATCTTTCAGTCGGTCAAGGCTCAAAGCTTCTATGCCTAATTCCTTTACGGTTTGTTTCAGTTCATCATTATAGGCATTTTCAACAACCTTTACCGCATTGAATTTCTCTTTCGTGCTTGTCATTACACGATTGATATTCAGGTATTCTTGATAGAGGGCATGGTTTTCAATTTGTCCTGCTCCAGCACCTTTAATCATTGTATCGTATAAATGTTTCGATAACTTTTCAAGCTGAGTAACGGATAAAGATTCGATGCCGAATTGTTGGGCATTCAATCTCAATCCTTCTAACATTTCAAGGTTTTGTATTTCTAAATCTTTAGTATTCCTAGTAACTGCTTTTATGCGTTCGCCTACTAAATCATAATTTTGCCTAGCTTCTTTCCACTTTTCTGACCCTTCGGTATAGGTTTTTGACCACTGTTGTGCGTATTCAGCCTGTAGCCTTTTTAGTTGAGTCAGTGTTAATCCTTGCAAGCCTAAAGCCTCTCTTTGCTTATCTATTTGTTCTTTTACGATACCCATAGCATCAAATACAGAACGCTGTTCTGTATAGGTTTTAGCTTCTTTTTGAGCTTTCAAAAGTTTCAAATAAGCATCTTCTAATAAGCCCAAACGGTTGACGCCTTCGCTGGTATCAACCTTTACTTTCATTAAAATTTCTTCGATTTTAACTGACATTATATTTTAGTTAAAGCTTTAAACTTTTCGATATTGAATTGAGCCATCTCGCTAACCGAGGCTACCAATACATTTTGGAGTGAATTAAGGCGACTAAAAAGGGGCTTTGTAAGGATTTTTTTAGGCTTACGGGTTGAAGGTGTGGGACGTCTGGAGTTAGTACGCTGAGGTACGCCTTTATTGAATCCTCTGCCTGCTCCCATATCTACAAAATGTAATGATGTACGGCTACGAAATGTAATTTCCCAAAGTTGATTCCCGACACTGATTAAGCTGATATTGATATTGGCTAGGTCTGTATCTGTAAATTTTACTTTGTTTTTTACCATCACGGAGCCGACAATCTTTTGAGTGGATACTATCCACTCTTTCAAATAATTTTCTGCGTCGTAATCTATTTCATTATCCATAATCGAAAATAATGAGCATTATTATGGATAGAAAGGACATAAAAAAGCCCGCTGGTTGGCGGGCTTTTTGCAAAATTAGGCTTCTTCTTCGACTGTAGATTCTTCTGTATTTGATTCTCTAGGATAAATACCAGCTACATCTCTAACTTTACTGCCTTCGTGAATTCTTAACCAATTTTCTTTGATGGCAGTTAATTCACTTTCTCTCTCAAGAGGGTCTTCTTTTTCTGAAGTACTTACCGCATCAGTTCTGCCATATGTAGCCAACATTGCATCGGCATAAGCAATCAACCAACTATCTACATTTTCAGGTGTTAACACCAAATCTAAATTTTCCATGTTCTGTATTTTAAAATTTAAAGAATTCCATATTTAATTTTTTAATCCAAATATCTGAAGTGTTGCCCCAGTACTCTCCAGTAGTTCGTACTTGTGGTACTGTTTGTTCTGAGCTTGAGTAACTAATATATCCACAACCTCCATATTGTAAAAAATAAGGAGTATGAATACCATTAGCATTTTTCAATTCAATAACCCTCGTAAAAGTTGTAAAATCAGTACTAACTTTTAGTAGTTCTAAGCTTGTTCTTACTTTTCCTTTAGACCCTGCTAATGTGTTTGGTGACTCATTGAGTATAAACCAACCTTGATTATCATATTTAAACACGCAGGGTTTTTGGTTGCTAGTAGCCGAAACCTTCACTAAGTTAGTATCGTAGGCATAAGAATTCGTTTTTAAAACCTTAGCCATCCAGAATCCAGCAGCGGGGCCA